CACATGAGCTGGCTGGACACAGAGAAAGACCAAGCATTGACTGTAAGATCTGTGTTGACAAGAAAGAACTCTAAAACTTAACTTTGAAAACATTACAGATCTCAGGAGCAGGACTTTGAAGTGTGGCTTCTCTTGCCAGAATTCCCAAGGTCACTAAGAGTGATACTGTGTTGTGTGAAAATGGCCATGTGCAAATTGCGTTGAATTTGATTAAAATGTGAAGAATTTTTAATGAATAGATGCAATGATTATTAAAGAGTCCTAGCCAATATTGTCCACATTTAAAGATCAGGGCAAACAGAGAGAGAAAGAAAGGACATGGAGTTGAGTGGGTACGGGGTGGAAAGGATCTGTGAGGATTTGAGGGAGGAGAAACTGTGATCAAAAATATATATAATTTTTTGAAAAAAAAAAGACGAGGGAAAAAAGAAATGAGTTCTCAAAAATTGTATTTTAACTAAAATTTTTTGAGAAATTTTAGTCACAGATTGTTAAGTAAACTGGAACAACTTGGTAGTCTCAACAATGTGTTCCCCTGAAAGTTTCTCTGAAAAGAAGAGCGTGCTGCAGAGGTCTACTTGCACCCTGTGACTGGGTGATAAAGGGTAACTTCGGATGGGAGAATATGATGATCCTTTAAACAGTTTTGGGTGGTGTCAAGATGTCTTGGGGTTAAAATGCTTACTGCCAAGCCTGATGACCTCAGTTTGAGCCCTAGAACTGACACAGTAGAAGGGAAGCAATTCCCACAAGTTGTCCTCTTTTTATGGTAAATGCACTCCCCACACACAAATAAATAAATAAATAGATAAATAATGAAAAGATTTAAACCACAATGTTCTACATTATTTCCATAATTAATTCATCTATAAAATATATGACTAAAAGTCTTTCACACATGCTGGGTTTTGAATTATATTCAGAGACAAAATAGTTACCTTCTGAAATATAGATACAACTAAAAGACCTCTCCCAATAAAAGACTGGCATTACTCCTATCCCAGCCCCATTATCTCAAAACTGTGGAGTACCACTTCCACTTTGAATTAATTGGGATTTGGGGTAACCAAGAAAAAGATCGTAAATAAGCAAAGCTCCATGTGTTCCACTGTGTGATATTCCAAATGTCTTTTGCTTATTGCTTCAGATGTTCTGCACATGACCAGACACTGCAAGGGATACCTGGAGAATGGCTTCAGATGGCAGCTGCCTCTTGGCCTCAGAATGGAGGTACCAGGTTCACAGCCCTTTTTAGGGCAGCCAGCTCACACTGAGTGGACGATAGGGGAACATCAACGCCATAGCCTTGACTTTGGGGAGGGCTCCGAAGGGTCATACCAGGTTCAGAACATCTGAGACCTTCAGTTGGAAATAACTGAATCCTTCTGTAAGACCTTCTGCAGCTTCCCTTTTATGTGCTCACCTGAAAGCATTGTCTCCTGACTTCCCTTCATGATAGACCCCACTTCATAGCCCTTCACCCCAGGAGAGCTGAACTTGGAAAAATCAGCAATCTTTCTAAACGACTCTTTATAGAGAATTAAACAGATCAAAAACTCAGGCCTCTTTAACCAGGTTGGAATATGAGATTCAGGACTGACCATAACCTTAAGTTATTATTGCCTCAAGAATGAACTGTCTGAGCTAGCCCACTCTCTTCTTCCTATTGGAATTACTTCATTCATTACCTAGATATGTAGAAGTGGTATTGCTATAATTAATGAGGCAGTTCCACGTAGTTTATCGGTTAATTAAAGAAGGTTTATTTTAGGGGTAACTTATAACCAATAAGGGGTTGATTACAGGATCCTGGAGAGATGAGGTACAGTTCAGCATAGTTCTCTGGGGAACTCTGACCTGGTCTGCAAATCCAGCCTGCAGGACCATGAGGAACTAAGATGGTGAACACATATGCATCTCAGGTCTTAAGGGGTCTCCTCTTGGCCACACCCCAGGGGCAGGTCATAGGCAGGTGTGGCAGTTATTTGCTGCCATACTAGGGGTAGTGTTTCAAGGTCAAAGCTGGAAGAGCTAGTCACTCCAGAGCGACATTACACCCCTGGACCCTAAATTGTCCAGGGACTGAGCATCAGGACATCCTAGATTCATCCTGTAAACAGCTGAAATCTCAAACCAGATGGTAAAACACCACAGTTGTCTGACTATTCCCCTGAGAAGGCCATTTCTCAAACTGACTAGTCAAGAAGACAGACAGTGCAAGTTTTGTATGTTGGAACACAGGCTGTCTTTCCCCTGCAAGCTCCTGAGTGAGGGTCCAGCAGATACCTGGGCCTCTTTAAGTCTCTCTCCAGGTACATGGAAAAAAGGCAGGATGTGTCTTCTCTTCTGTTACTGATGATGCCCTTGTATAGCTTTTCTTGTATCCTCTATTGTCAGCTAGTACTATTGTGTAACTTCTCTTGTGCCATTGTTATAGATAACAATTGCAGACCTATGTAGAACTATTGCAGTGTAGCAATGCTGACCAAAAATGAGCAAATTCTGTTTGGTTCTAGTTACAGCCTTTTTAGGTATCAGAAAGGTTCATGGCCAGCTGAAGATGAGGATAACCCCCATAATTAGGAAAGGTCCCTAGGAGAGATAGTGGTAACAGACTCTAAATAATTCCAGTGTCAGAGAGAAGATATCCTGGTATGAAAAGTGACAAGTTCCTAGACAGAATGGCTACCTACTTTAGGACAAAAGCAGAATTGCCTGGAGGCACCTCAGTAACTTCTTCATGTCCAAGACAGCATGACCTTTAAAAGCATGGTATTGGACAACCCATATCCTAAATCAATGGGTCTCAACCTGTGGGTCACAACCCCTTTGGGGGTCAAATGACCCTTTTACAGAGGTCACCTAAGACCATTGGAAAACACAGATATTTTACATTGTGATTCATAACAGCAGCAAAATTACAGTTATGAAGTAGCAACAAAAACAACTTCATCGTTGGGGTTACCACAACATGATAACTGTATTAATGGGTCACAGAAGGTTGAGAACTACTGTCCTAGAGGGAGGAGTGTTACCTTAACTTAGCTTCCTTGGAGCCATGATCTTCCTGCCCCATGCAGGCTCTATTGCGTTCTCAGGATCCTGAGGCCTGAGTAGCCAGAGCTGCACCTCAATTTAGACAGTTTTAATCCAGAATGGTCTGATGCCTTCTCATAATCAGAATGGCTTGTTTTGCCCTGGAAAAGTAAGCCCACTGCTCTGGAGACCAAGGGAGCACATACCTTATGCCTTCTGACCCCAATTTCACAAATCTCTCCTCATCCCAAGAGAGGCTACCCCTTAATTGAAGCTGCAGAACACTGTGGGATCCATCTTGGACCCTGGCACATGGAAAGCAAAGGCCTAAACGGGACCCATCCTGAGCTACCAAGGGTCATTGGGTGTTTCCTGGGACAATAGCTCAGCTTTACATATGGCTTCACTCATATGCATTGACTCAGGAAGATCTGCACCAGTCTAGCAAGGTTAGCAAGGGGCCTGCTGTGCAATCCACACATTTTTCAGATTGAAAAATTAGAACTTGGGGCTAACTAAAGGGCATTAATTTTTTTCTGGTAAAAAAAAAAAACATTATATAAAGGAATATAAGTTAAATCACAGTGAGTCACATATTTAATAAAATCATCTGCTTAAAAGAAAAGATAGAAGCTTGTGCAGAAATTCCTAGAAATAATGGCCAGCCTAATTATGAGCATGAGCTGAATCTTGAAGCTTAAAATCTCCTTTAGCAAAAGGTTAGAGAGAGAAGCTCTATTCAGGGGCTGAGAAGGGGAGGTAGGGAAGCTGTTACAGGCAAGGCAACTGATGGTCCGGAATGCGAAGTCTGTTCTTTAAGCCGAGGAGGAAAGCTGTGTGCAGGCTGTCCATGCAAAGGTAACTAAGCTGTGCCCACAATGCCCAAGGACAATTTAGCATTCTTGGGACCATGTGCATGGGCTGCTCCTCTTCTGAAATGTCAGTTCTAACCCTCTGGGAAACAGGAAAGCATTTTAATGACAGAAAATCCATTCAATAGGCATATGTTCCTCAGAGGCCTGTGAGGACACATTTACTGGAGGCCAAATAAGAACCAGTCACAGCTTAAGAAGGAACCACCACTTCCTTGTGGTGCTCAGAGATTGAGAGTGGTGGAACCCTTGAGTCCTGAGGAGCAGGAGGAATTGGACTGAAAAGTATACACAGTCTGCATTTTGCTTTGTAACTATACAATAAAGAACTAGTCGTTCCTTTGAGTAAATCTTCCCATCAAACTAAGAAGAGATGTGAGTTTTATCCATGCCGATTTTTGAATGTCTTGAAATTATGCCTTTAACTCTGTATATGATCATGTGTCACCTAAGGATGCTAAGCAATATTTCTGAGTTAGCTATTTCCCACAGAACTACTAACCCTTAAAAGGCTCACTGCTTCTGGAGATGTGGGGACTGCTGAAGGACCCTGGAAAGTGCTCTAAACACAAAAATCTCTCCCTCAAAGGACCCATCCTGACAACAGGTCATGTAAACCGCCTGCTGAGCTCCATAGACTTCCTTTGTTCACAGGGAAGCAATCTACTTTACCACCAACACTGCAGCACAGAGCACTCTGGGAAGTCAAGATCCACAGGGTGCATCTCTAGGACTCAAGAAGGCTTCTGGAGAGCCAGGGCCGCCCCCACACCATCTCTGTAGGACATGTTCATAAAGTAGTGGCTTCTTAGGTGTTGTTTTGTGAACTCCGCGGATTTAGCCAAACATCTCTAGGCTCTAGTTATTGTCGTTCCGGCAGGTAATTTGTGCCGGGAGTAACAGTAATTTAATGTTATTAATGAAAATAAAGGCTAATTAGGAAAAAACGAACATTTGAAAATACGGAGCACTCACAGATGAATTGTATTTCTGTTTCTTTTATCTACTAGAAAGGATAGGTAACACTTTGGTTGCAATAACCAGGCAAAAGTACAGTCAGACACATCTAGCATTGTATCTTGTTGAACATACCTGCAACCCTTCAATGGCCAGTTTAAGGATCGAAGGTGTCAATTTGGAGGCTTGTTTGAAGGAAAAATTACTCCAGTCTATAATTAAAATGAAACCATTTATCTGCAGCTCAGGATCTTCGATAAGGACTTCCAGGGACAGCAGAATGGCACGAAGGATGTCTGTGAAGGAGTTCCTGTGGTCAGAACAGAAAGGAGAGTGTGTGTAAGTCTAGAGAGTTCACAGACTGCACAGTGTGTGTGGTGACTGCTGTCCTCACCCCACGTCCCCATGAATCCTGCATGCAGACTCACAGAGGTTCTATATGCAGAATGAATAAAAATAATTTGCTGAATATCCTGGAATAATGCTTCAAAGTGGCCAGGATGGGTGCTTCCCTTTGATTTGGTCACAATGGCATCTTGGACTTAATGAAATGTCATTCTTCTGAATCCCATGGCTCTCTGTACTCTGCTTCCACTGCATCACCACTCACACCTTGCAGAAACAGCCCCGCCCCTACGCTTTGATACCCATGGGACAGGGGCTGGGATACAAACCTGGCACTATCTTCAGTACCTAGGCATTCAATGAATCATTGATGAACAAATGGAGTGAAATCTCAATCACAGGTGCTTATTTGAATTAAACATCTTTTGTTTCTTTTCTATGCTATAACCTTGTAGAGTGTATAAAATAAACACCCATGCTATTCTTGCTATGTTTTTAGTTTTGATTCATGGGTAGCAAAAATAGTAATAAATAAAGCTGGAAGAAGAGTTTATTTTCATTTAAGGTCTACAGGTTGTGATTCAGAAGGGACATCACTTTGAGTACATCCATAACTATGACAACAGGCAGATGAATACAAACTAGGGTGATAGTTCTCCAGGGCTGTACATAAGCCTTCACATCACAGGTCCAAATAACAGCTGACTTTCATTTAAATAGTTTTCAGACATGATAAAATGATGGCATAGGTACTTGCAAATGAGGTGAACTGAAAATTTAATGTGTTACAAGATTTTTATAATCAGTGTCTGATGAGCAAGAAGATCTAAGCCTGGATGTCAAGTGTTTGTAAATTCTACGACTTCCTTTAGACCTTGATAAAAACCAGAAGCTTGGTTATGTGAAGTCTGTGTCAAAGAATTGGATTCCTAAGATGATCAATCTGGTTCTGAACCCTAACCAGAATGCCTGCAGAATGGAGTTTGAGCACCTATAATTGAATCCACCCCTATTACAAGCTCAGGGTTTTGTTTCACGTTTGAAGATATGTTAGAGTGCCCTGTCTCTACTTTCAAAGATAATAGTTGTGTGTGTGTGTGTGTGTGTGTGTGTGTGTGTGTGTGTGTGTGGAAATGAGCTACATGAGTTGAGAGAGGTTGATACTATTTGCTCAGTCTGGTAAGAGGGTATGAAGAGATCATGGCTTGGGATAAACCTTATGTGAACAGGCTTTGGGTAGATAATTCAAATAATAAAGAATGAGGTATTTCAGGACTAAAGAGAGACCTGAATAAAAATAAACAGCCCACTCTGTTTCTGCCCTTCATGAAAGTTCTGTTTCTCTGACACTGAGCTAAAATATTCCTTCCTCAATATACCCACTTAGATTAGACCTGATATATGGGGGTGGGTAAGCGTTCAGAGCTGCCCACATCATACACTTTCAACTGTGCAAACATGATGCTCATGGACCTGTGTGACCTCTAGATGGAAAGAGTTGCTCTGGATGCTCTTCTTATCATTAGTGTTTTCTTAAAAAAAAAAAACAGCCTATTTTAGAGATGCTGTGGTTTTAGAGACTTAGGGTCAGTTTTCATGGAGTTGGTTTTGCTGTGGCTTGGATTTCAGTTTACTTTGTCACCAGACAACTTACTCAAGTCAAAAACACACCTTTGTCTTGTGAAGAAATATTGATTTAAGAGGAACATGGAACCAAAACTATGTGTTTAGGTGATTTCAAATGGTAATATAAAAATATCCAATGGCAGGAAATGACCATTGGAGTACCAGGGAATCTGAACTTGGATAAACTTTCTTAACAAGAGCAAATCTAGAAATAGAACCAGGGCTGAGAATCTGAGTCTTACATGAACCCTGTATACAATATTGGAAATAAAGGGAGGAGAATAAAAAAAACAATAAAAGATGAAAATATCAAGACAGGATGGTTTAATAAAAAGAAGAGAATGTTCTCATGAAGGAAAAACTATTTCTATGTCACTGACCCCAAATTCTCATGTCCAACCTACTCCTTAAGGACATAGTTCCTTGTCTGTGTGATTTGCCTTGATTCATTGCATGTAGACAGACAAAAAATGTTGCCATTTTTAGCCTTGTTCTTCAAGGAGCTGACATGCCATCATGTTCTCTTTCCCTTTTACTAATGTCCTGGTCAAATCATACCACAGCTAGAGTGATGGACTGAGAATGCGACACACACAAGACAAGAAAACCCAGCTGGCTGGCTGGCAGGTCTCCCATAGGAAGCAGAGAGGCCGGTCTCAACCTTGCCTAGATAAACTCCCCACAGATAGAAAAGCAGAAATAAACAATTGCTTTTTAAACTACTGGGTGTTGGTATGGTTTGCTATGTGTCAATAACTGTCCAACACAAGAGGACAGATTTAAAAGCCAAGGCAACAGCAAAGTTAAGGAGAATGGGGAAGGAGAAATAACCAACATGTTCCCAAGTAGATCTTGTTGTTTAGTTGTTTACTTGATTGATTTTCTGTGACTGGGTCCCACTATGAATCCCAGAATGGCCTCAAATTCCCAATCTGACTATCTCTGTCTCCCAAGTGCTGGGAATATGGGTGTGAACCACATTTCCAGCAACAGAGTACTTCCCGAGGGAGTTGTCAGAGAGCACTTTAGTTGATGGTTGAAGATAGAAATTGGTAATGAAAAAATAATGAATATATTTATTAAATTAACTATTCTCTATATTATTTTACTTCTTAAGTAAGAGATGAATCTTTTCCCATAGCATATTCACTTGTGTCCACTTCTAACAAAGACCAGAATTTAGAGCAGGCATCGGCAGGAAGGACAATGGTCCACACGTGAGATGATTCCAGGAGTCAAGTAAAACGATTGTGGACTAGTTTCCCTTCCTAACATTCGCATGCTTCACTTTTTTTTTTTTTTTTTTTTTTTTCGAGACAGGTTTTGCGCCTTTCCTGGAACTCGCTTTGTAGACCAGGCTGGCCTCAAACTCACAGAGATCTACCTGCCTCTGCCTCCTGAGTGCTGGGATTAAAGCTGTGCACCACCACTGCCCGGCTCATGCTTCACTTTTATAGATGACCTGATGGGCGGGGAGATGGCAGATGGAACAGTATGATGAGGCTTCATTGTCACTGGAGTGTGGCCTTGCCACTTACCTTAGCTGGAAATACACCCTCGATTTCCTGAGTACTTGGCTTCCTCATTTAAATTTCCCCTTCCTCTTTCCTTTTTGTAATATGCTTCACTTGTGAAACACTCCTAGCTGTTTGGAATTTAAAGTAGCCATCAAACTAAATAATGTATGTCGATAATCCACTCTGGAGGATTTGGAGCATAACTGCCCACTCCATCAGTACTGGCTGGACATGGCGATTCCTGCCAGAAGAGCAGAGAAGAGTCACTGCATGGCAGAGAAATCTGGGGACACAGCTGGAGCCAGGGGACCAAGGGCGGTATCACCAGAAAGAAATTACAAAGTGCTTTTTCTTGCTAGGATGTTAAAAGTGGCACTTTATTTCTAGAACTGTCCTCCCCCACATCATACTGTCAGAGCAATAATGAGGAAAACACTAAACACCTTTCACCTGATGGGCATTTCCCGAAGCGGATGACCAGTATTTCTCACAGTTGTCAAGTATGTCAAAACACAAAGAAATTCTGAGCAATTGTCACAGTCAAAAGGACTCAAAGGAAACATGACATCTAAATGTAACATGATCTCCTGAGCGGGATCGTGAGACAGAAGATCCAGTGGTCAAAACTGAGGCGATCTCAATGATGTGCAGAACACAGTGAATAACTGAATCTGGTTCCGTGATTGTGACAAACACTGCAGACTAAGACATTAATCCAGACACACCAGCTGCATGCAGCACAAAAAGTGACTCTGCGGCACCCTCAGCATGACTTTTAAGGCTAAAATTGTTACAAATACAGTTCTTTTGAATGAAACAGGCCCGCCAGAGCTTGTGGCATGTCACCATGAGTCTTCATGCTCTAATAAGGTTCCTAGGCAAACCAAAATGGCCATTAACAATTCAACCAAAGGCAAAAAGCCATTTTCAGAATATCTTCACCAGATGAACTAATGTAGACATGGATTGTTTAACTCTAATAACCCAGAGGAAAAAGATTCTTTTTTGCCTGCAATCACAATTAGATCAGACTATTTTAGCATGTGTTTCAGAATGAAATAACAGATGAAAATTGGTATTTACATTTCATTCATTCTTTTCATAATTTGCATAGCCTTTGAATTGTCAGAGTTTAGTGTGAAATTTTTAACCTCATATGAAAGCACCATGTGAACTGTAAATTGCCAGTGAAATGTGAGGAATTATCCTAAAAGGGGAAACCTTTGAAATTTCCCCATAAGAATTTCAATTAACTAGGACTCAGCAGTGGGTTTTTTTTTTTTTTTTTTTTTTTGGTTTTTTGAGACAGGGTTTCTCTGCGTAGTTTTGCGCCTTTCCTGGAGCTCACTTGGTAGCCCAGGCTGGCCTCGAACTCACAGAGATCCGCCTGCCTCTGCCTCCCGAGTGCTGGGATTAAAGGCGTGCGCCACCACCGCCCGGCTGGCAGTGGGTTTTTAATGGTACTTCATCATCATACTGAGACCACCTAGAGACAATGAATACAGCTCATTTTAAGGTTCTCCTGTTGTGTTTATGGTTTTATTGTTGCTTAACATCACCATTTAAGACTTTAAAATCTACTACAATTGAGAAACGAAATAGTGTAAAATAGCGGTTACCAGTTAGACGAAGTTGAGCTTTTAAGAACTGACTCATTTGTCTTGACATTGTAGGAGATTCTAAGACTTCACTCCCAAGGCTTGACCCAAATAAGAAAAAGAGGTCATATCTGAGCAGATGACCATATAGAGGCATAATGGGATTGTAATAATCCTTGTTCTCAGGAAGAATGGAAGAGAACTTCTCAGCCAGTTCCACAACA